ATAATCAATGATATCTAAAGGTACTAGTACTGGTATGATATATCGGTGAATCGACATACCAGTATACGCCTATCGTATCACAAGGTCTTGTGTCAATACTTGACGATACCTCATTCCATAAAAAGTAGGGAATGGATTCACGTATTTTTCTCATTGACTTGACTGAAATTGTTGGTATCGTATCGTATCTTATCTTATTGTACGTATCGTGGTATGACTGGAGATTACCAGTACTAACAGGTACCCAAATAAACAGATCTTTATCATAATAGGTTTAAACTGCCGTGCACAAAATACATTTTTTCTTAAGACTTGAACACACCCATAGATTAACACTTTGACACAACATTTATTTTTCTACATTTTTCTCCAACTTTTCTCATAATCATTCTTACTATTTCAGAAATACAGATGGCCTTTTGTTTAAAAACTATGACCAAAAACTCAAAATTGTCTTGCCCAAGAGAAAAAAAGACAAATTTTTACACATGCGTCCAGAAAATTACGAATTTAACTGTGGTACTGTAATGTGTACAGTGGCGTAGGCAGAAATTCATTGACGGGGACCTTTCAAGCACCACAGCTCCCCTTTTAGATTTTAGAGGATACTAGCCGCAATGGGGGGTTAGGTGGGCCTCCTTCTGGGAAAATTTTCCAACCAAGGAAGGTGGAGAATGCATCAGACATGATTTCGGCAGTAAAAATAGAATAAATTTTTCAATATTTTTCCCCAAGGAATGCACCATACCCCGTTTCCCCTAAATACACCCCTGAATGTGTTTGAAAAACAAGAAATTAACATGGGCTTTTTGATTAAAGTATTAACATAAAGGGTTCTAAATGTTGAAAAAGTGTTGAACTGAATTCTCTTACATAAAAATATTTGCCAAATCTAATTTTTTCACTAAATAACGGCTTCTGATTTGATTGTATTGCCCAGTAATATATTTCTGATTGGAATTCTCCATTTTTTAAGTACATTAGTACAAATTCTTAAGTTTTAATGATTTAAATTATTTTAGTAAGTTTACCCTCTGGTTAATTTCCTGTTTCATATATAAAGATGTATATAACTGAGAGTATAGTGATGTATCTAATCTTCACGATATTGATAATCAGAGATCAGTTGAAGTATCAATGGCCAATCTTTACTGGACAAGGTCTGTTTTAATTCATTCATCAACATCTCATCACCTTCTCTAGCCTGCAATAAAAACAGTCAATATATATATATTACCTTGTTTATAATTAATTTTATATATATTTTTAAACTGTATCAATAGTTGTTATGTATTACTACAAGTTACTACACTTGCAATCTATGATTTGAAGAATTGTTTCTTAAAGATGTACTCCACATTTTTGTTAAAAGTTTTCATTATCAAAAACTATTTCATTAAGCAGTTTGACCTAGTTTTGAAGTTTGGCTCGTTATATCTAGTTGAAATCTTTAGGAGACAATTTTCTCTACAATGAGGCGTTTATTTTACTTAAATCTGTAAAATAGTTTTTTCACAGCTTCCAAAAATCATAACGAATATACAAACCTTACGTAAACTTTTTAAATAATTTTGGTGTCCCTCTTAATAGAGGCGCACACATAAAAAGTGTGACACTTAGAGAAGTCAAAACTGCCAGGGTATTCAGCTTGACTCTTCAACCAACAACTAGTCAAATTTCGCCCAATGTAATTTTCAACCAATTTTACCTCTTTTCAACGGCAAACCTATAATTAAGGCGTCACCCGAGTGCCCTGACATACC